CTAACGTTTCAAATAAAGAACCGATGAGATTTTGCAAATTTTATGCGTTTTTTTTAAAAAAAAAGTTATCAAGCTCTTAAAAAATCACCCGTTATCTGATCATTCGATCATGAAGAAATTAACGGAACTCCTAAATTTTTAGATGAGAATTGAAATCGGTTGCGTTTTTGGCTTCAAAATTACTTTTTTGTATAAGATTATTGTTTGCGCGCATAAAAATCAAGCATTCAGTCTTTACACTACATTAAGAAAAAGTTAAAAGATTTTGTTTTTTTTTCATTTAACAACTGCCATTTATAAAAACTTTGATTTTTTTATTTTTGTGTGAAAAATTATAGGGTATGATTACATTCCTATAAATTTTTTTTTTTTACTTAAAGAATCGTTAAAAATATCAATCAAAAGCCTAAAAGTATTCCAGGAAAATGAATTTTGAATGGAGCACGATATGTTCGCTTCGAAAATTAATGCAATAAAGCAGACTATGCTTTTGGAAAGCAAGTTATAATGGGAGTGGGAACGGAAAGTTTTATTTGTTTTTCAAACAAAATACTTTAACAAAAATCCACCAAAATAAAAAAAAATACCTTTTTACCAACAAATTTGTGTCAACCAATTTTGGTAATATTTTACTAAAGTGGCAACCCTGCACGCATCGAGCGATTACTTGCCACGATTTCCACATTCTGACTCAGATGCCATCAACAAACACCCCATCTCAACGCGTCGCGACGTACGAACTTCGCGTTACATGCGAACAAATCATCGAGTGGCATCGCGTTACTTCGCAACCTGCCGCAGACTCATTAATTGCAACTAAACGGTTCTAGTGTCCTGTGCAAGGACACCGGTGCGGGGTGTAGCGTCGTTTGCGGTGGATTGTTTTGATTTTGCCAGAGCCACAACAAAGGAGCGGTACATTAGAGGGCGGGGTGGAGCATGTCGTTGAGAGAGGGTTAGCGAGAGTATTTATAGGAGCTGCGCTCGCTCGAGAGAGTGAGGCCGGGCAATGCGAGCAATAAGGACACTTGCACGTTTGACAGCCAAAGATGTGCGTGACTGCAGCAAAGGAAAGGCTATAATTTTGAGTGTAAGTATGTACATATATTTAAGTGTGCGATGGTGTGCTTGAATTTTTGGCATATACGCTGATACATATGTATTTATGCTAGTATGCATGTGTGTAAGTATATGCACTTATGTGAATGTTAAATATGGAAAAGTAAGTCAGCGCATAATTACTTCTCAGATTTTCGTATGAATTTTCGTTTTGCTTGCATTAATGCGCTTAAAAAGTCATACATATATGTTATGTACATATGTACACGCATAGGTTTATTCATAAGTGTAGTATGTATATGAACAACTATGACTCTCAATACCATCATGAGTAATAATTCCAAGCCAAACGTTATTCCATCATAAAAATATTTCTTTTACGTGCAAAAATTCCATTGCTTTGTAGTAGAAATTTTGAACTTCTGTTTGCATATTCAAGCACTTTTCCTTGGCGCATTTCTTGCATGCCTTTTTAAATAGTGACTCTCTATGAAAACTGGTATTCTATGAATTAATGCAATGCGAGATTAAATATGTAAATATAAAAAGCCTTAATGCTGAGGCTTCGGTTAAATTCACTTCGCTTTAGCGTATGCACCACTCAAACTTCGTCTTTCATGCCAGTAAGCTATGCAAGTTAAATTGAATATTAGATCATTTAAGTGGCTGCATGGGATTTTCCCAAGCTGTTGGGAATTCTTATGACTACGGAAAATGGTTTTTATGACTCATTAAACTACCTTTTTAACTACATATTTCACTTTCTTTGAACCACAAAGGGAAGGTTTTGAATTCCTAGTCACAAACGCGTCTGGCGAAGGTTATATGTCTATTCTCGATTATGAAATCAGTAATTCTTACTTAAGTTATCATTTATTGCCTAACTTTGTTTGTGATAACACGATATTTTAACCCATTATCAAGCTTAATTATGTACCTATAAGTTACGAGAATTTAATTTGACGAATTTTAAAAAAATTTTCATTAAAATTTTCAACTTTTTAAGCCGATTTTTTAAACATTTCTGAGTACGCAGTTTTGTAGCCTATTAAATTTTAGTATAATAAAGTTCAAACTTGAAGTAGCTAGGATTACCGTTTGACAATTTTTTGTTCACGCAATTTTTTCCATAAAAAAATACATATCGTTCATTTACTTCAAAAAAGTAAAACTTGAGATAAATGGCTTTAAAGCTTTGAATTTTTATATAGTTACCTTAATTCACAGAGGCTGTAACCAAAACGTTTTTCGACGCTGCGTTTTTTACAGATTTTGGTCGGATGTATTAAAATACGTTTCAGTAAAAATTTTGAAATCTTGTGGTGATATAGTGTCTTCCAAAAATTTGTATCTTTCCCTGGTGCAGAATGTGTTTGCTGTTACACTCAACCCGGTAAAAAGGTACGTTTTTGCCTTCTTGTCCTTGTCGAGCTCACGCATTTCATAATACATAGTCGTTTTAAGCAACCATCTGATTTCTCCACAGGGCAGAGAATGTGCCTTTTTTGCCTTATAGGAGTTAGACATTTTAAGAAACGAACACATAATTTTCCCACCCTTTGCCTTTAATTTAGAATCGAACACGAAAAGAGAAATGGGCAAGCAAAATGTGAAATTTTTTGATAGAAACGAAATCACCATAAGTACCAAGAACAACGGAGTTAAAGGCCGTATCAGTAGCGCATTGGATTAGGCAAAATAAAATAAGATTATGCCCGGGGAGAAAGAAAGAATTTCGATAATTGCTTTACTCTTTTGCGAAATTACGCCACTTATTTACATGCAATTTAGCATAGTCCTACTGCTTTCAACGATGACGGCACTGGTGCCAGATGGTTACTAGAAAAGGTGGCAGTTCTGGTGATGATCAGTGCACCGCGGTGGCCATTCGGTGGCACCAGACATCGGTGAGGGGGTACCGTTGACAGACGCTAGATGCACTGGTAGATACCCTGATGGAACTGGTAGCCTACGAGCAAGGCTCTACAAAGAGGCGTATGCTGTCCCCACAGCCGCACACCACTTACATATCTTACTTACATACGTTCATTAGGGCGGGACAATTTTTAAGGGAGATTTTTTTGCCGGAGTTTGCCAAATTGCGAAAATAAGTTTCTTAGAATTTTGCTGTTATGTCGAAAAGAAGTGCTTAAATTTTGTAGAAAATCATGCTATAAGGGGTTCTTTGGCATGAGGAATCCATTTTTGCAATTACCTTTTTCTCAAAACCACCACCTGGGGCTCTATTCTGTAACTGTGAGTTTTCAAGTGTACACTGAAAATTGTGTGCACTCTTCATTTTACGATTCAGGAATAGTAAGAATGAGTTTTAGCTATCAAAATTGTGTACACTTCCTCATTTTGCGATTCAGCATGTTTGAGAATGAGTTTTAACTATCAAAAATGTGTACACTTCTCTTCCGAAAAACTCACTGAATTTTAGGCGGTGAGTTTTTGGTTGTGAGTTTTGCACTCGGTGTACACTACATTTTCTCACAGTTACAGAATAGAGCCCCAGCGGGTGCAATAGTGAAAATTTTCAAATTTTCGTTGATTTTAGATCCATTGTTTCTTCGGAAAATTTGCTTAGAGTCACACGTAGAGTCCTCCTACGCTATACGCGCATAGTCGAAAAAAAAAATTGACTCGCCCTAATAAACATACATACATATCGCACGTTTAATAATATTCAGAATATTCATGTACGTGCATATGCACATGAAATTCGTTCAGATACCCTCCAACTGCTTCACACTACTATTTCCAGGCATAGTACATTCTTAAGGACGCATAATGCAAATACACCAGGGAACCCTTCAGTACGCCCAACTGTAATGGAAATGCATCATGTAGAGTCAGCAGAGGATATGCGCCTAAGCACTGCAGTGCTTTCCTTTTCAAAGACAAAAACAAAAACAATAAAAAGAATTACTTGAAGCAGAATAAGAACAAGAAAACTCACTGCAAGCCGCCAATCTGTCTGTCTGTCTGTCACAGTGAGTACTTAAAAAGAGGCACTCTCACACACCAACAGACAAGAAAATCAGCAAGTAAGTAAGTAGGTAAGTAAGTAGATATACAGACTGTGCAAACATAGATATGTATGTATGTAAGTACTCGTACGACTGGCTGGTAGGAATCTTACCTAGTACCAGTAGGTGCGCCTGTAGCTGGACTGTCCGACCACGTATCTGAATTGCAAGGAGCCGCCAAAGGCAAGTGGCAAGTGAGGTGAAGAGAAATGACATAAATCTTTCAGAATTATTTGACACACTTTACGGGCATTGTGCCGAATGGCGATGGCAAAACGCTCAACTTGCACTCGCACTCGCACTCTCTCCCCGAAGTACTAAAGTACAGTTGTACTAAGGGCTGAGTGCTGAGCAATTGCTGCAAGTGGCCAGCTGTCATTGTTGTTATTATTGTCATTTTTGCAATTTTGTTGCATTTATTGTGACTTTTGTTGTTGCACTGATGCGTGCGACCAAGTTGATGTCCCTTTAAGGATATAACGCATACACACATTCAAATGTGGCCCAGCGCCATAGCCCTACAGAGAATCTGACTGACTCAGAACTAGCGTAGAACCAGACCTTTTGCCGTTCCGCAGTACCAGTTCTATTTCAATACCCAAGCAATGCTTTCAACTGTCCAGGCTTTCACGGCGATGTCATTGGCGGTGGCAGTTGTCGCCCAGTGCATTACTTTGCAACTAATTTTTAACCGGTTCCGTTTTGGACAGTTTTTAGTTTTTATAAAAAAACAAAAATATTGTAAGCGGCACGCAACAATTTAAATTCATTAAATCTGAACACTCACAACGGCCTCCACCGCGATTTGA